AAGACCAATCGATTTATTCATAATAAACATCAAATATCAAGCATAATAATAAAGTTTTTAAATAATTTTTTACTAAAGCAGCAAAATTGTTTTTTTTTCAAAGAACCAGACGCTTTTATTTAAATGTGTGTCACTGAAGGCGTAACTCGCTTTAGTACAAGATAGCCTGTATTAACTTGCCAACAACCCTGACTGAGCATCCCCGCTCACTCTCGGATGTGTCTTAGACAGCGAAGAATACAGTTCTTGCTCTCAATACATTAATGTATTCGTTACTCGGTCTCTAGTATCTAGTATCTACATACAACATATATATATATATATATATATATATATATATATATATATATATATATATATATATATATATATATATATATATATATATATATATATATATGTATATATATATATATGTTAAAAACGACTTACATTCAGTGAAGGGAACTGTCGTTGTTGACTGGGTTGTTGTCACTTTTTGGTGTTCATCACAAGATGAAGCGTCCTTAACGAAGAAACATACAACGGCAGTTGCTGTAGCGTTATTCCGGTCAGACACCTGGGGTAAATAGCATGTAATTAGTTTGTATATATTTTGTTTTTTCTTATCTGAATATTCTATTAAAAACTCCAATGTATGTTATATATAAATATATATATATATATATATATATATATATATATATATATATATATATATATATATATATATATTACTTCCAACAAATAACTTAATTAAATCAGAAATAATATTATGATTAGTTGAATTTATTTGTCAGTTGTTCCACTTGTAATGACAAACGATTGTTTTCACTTAAATTCGGTTTCACTTTATTTTATTATGATTTTATTCTCATCAGAGAAGTGACAAATAACAAAGAATTCGCCCGAAAGAATATTAGTCGATCTGGTTAGTCTTTGTATTTTTTTGTTCTAAAAGCTACACGTGACGACTTTGGAGGTTAGTGACTGTGGAAGAATATTCAACCAACATTATTGTATGAACGCATAACAATCAAGGATAAGATTAATGACTTAAGTTTTTCCTCTTTCCACCCTTTCCCACACTACAATTTTTATATATTTTACGCAACAGCATGGATTAATTGCTGTAGGATAATGATAAATCAAGAATAGCTATAGCGATTATTGACAAAACTCCCAAAAAATGTACGAAAATTAATTTTTTTTTTACAGCACAATTTTTTTTATATATTTTGGGCTCCCTGGGTGGCACTGGCAATATAGCATTTCAAGGTTCATGGCTACGATATTTCCACCACTGGTTTAGGGCCTTTAAAGCTCTTTGTTCTAAGAGTTGTAAAAAGTATTCCACACCAGTTCCTGTGACTTGATGAGTCGTTGTCTCTACCTAGTTATCTTCCTTTTTTAATGAATGTGTTATTCTTAGATTTATTTGTATTCACATATGATGTTTTATCTGATTAGACGGAAAATCAAAAATTTAATTTGAATTAGACAGGGTAGGCTCAGGAATGTCCTAAAAATTAGAGTCGGGATTCGAACTCGATACAGTCGTAAGGTCTACCATTCGACCACACCGTCCCCAGGCGTTAAAAGTACTTTACTATATTTCCGTGGGGGACATGATAACTTAAGTACCGATTATCTTATAATTAGATTACTTTTAATTTTCGAGCGACACCCGATATTCGGATCGGTATTTTATTATACTTCGGCGTGATCTCGAGAACTTGAGAAATTGTTTGGATCAAATTTCAGATATAAATATTAGATTCTGCTTGAGGCTCCAAACTCGGCACTTTCGGGGTTTAAAAATAATGAATGTTTAACTTAGGTTAAAATGTAATGATTATCGCATCGTTATCGATTTTTAAACAGAATAAAGAGGTAAAAATGTATACCAGGCAGAAAAACAATTAGACTTAGAACCGAATCTAAACGATTTTGTAAAAAAAAATAATACAAACCTGTATTGTATAACTCTCGCTTTCCTTTACATTTCCGAATTCGGAAAATTCTGCTAATCCAAAATAGCTTTCAGTGTCGTAATTGATACGAATAGTTTCCCTTGTCTCTGAACCTGGAACTACAAAGGCAAATAATAACATCACCATAATATAGTGAACATGTACATGCATTCACGGTATTTCTGTTTCAGTTTTGAACCATACACCTCAATCAAAGACGCAAAATATTTTTCGAAATGGCGTAATATTTGCCGTAACTTTACGGAATACATCGCAAATCATTACTTCAAAATTTGATTTTTAGCCTAACCGGTTCAACTGATGAATTACAGTTTACAAAAACGTCGTTAAGTTAAAAAAAATTTAACTATTAACGCTGCTCAAATGGTCTTTTAATTTATAATTTTCACCCCTTTTAGTGCCCCCTAAGTTCTGAAGTATAGGCCATATAGGCAACCTTATTTTCTCCATTTTTAGGGCTTCGTAATTTAAATATTCTGCGCTGCGTTCGTGGCCAGTGCAATTTAGTGTCTTATTATAGTCTTTAGCATTCATCTATTTATAGTTTATTTATCTTTCTGAAATAGAAATAGGGCTTAGGATATAATGAAATAAGCTAGATAGCTGGTTCCAAATATTTTCAAATGGTTGTTGCCAGAAAGCATAGTTTTCAACAGAAATTGAATATTTTATAACATTTGTGAAATAAGTACAAAATGTGTTCCGGTTTTATTAAGGCTTGAAATATTCAAGCAATTAATGTACTATTAATATAATAGTAATTTAGAATACACCTTTATTACTTTCTCGTATACAGAGTATAGCGCAGTGGTTACCAAACTTTTTACAGTGGCGACCCCCTTTTATAAAAGTAGGTGATACGCGACCCCCATAGAATCAAAAAGTTGAAATTAGTGAGGAAATTAATAAACACTAAAAATACGAATTTCTAGTAGACTTTCAATATTAATTATTCTTGCATCTTGTTGCATCTTTACTGTAATGTAATTTTTTAGTAAAAATTGTAAATCTCTGCCTTTTATCAACTTTTGAATAATTTCCGTTTACCGGAAGTAGTACTTTACGTTATTTCCGATTTCTCTAAAAACGCATAAAAAGTACTAATATTTCGCACTATTAAATACACATTGTTTGCTGTTCACTTTTTTTTGCCACGAGATTCTATTCTATTTTTACAAGCTTTTCTTTATAGTTATTAAAACTTTTTTTTGAATATTTTTTAAAAGTTAAAATTCATTAAAAATCATGTCTTAATTGCCATCACCCGTAGTGTTATATCAGAATATTCGAGAAAGTTTAGGGGAGATCACTCCCGCTTTCTTGAAATTTCGATTAGAAGAGTCATGATGCTTTAATATAATTACAATACTAAGCTATTCACTATTAACCTTTATTGTGTATTTAACCAATGAAATCTATTTTTACTTTCTCGTATATACGAAGTATAGAGAAAGTCTTGTAATCGTGCTAAAAAATTTGAGATTTTTGCAGATCTCGACGTTTTACAGCTCCCTGAGTCGGAAAAACATAGTATCTCTCTCTCTCTCTCTCTCTCTCTCTCTCTCTGTGCGTGTGTGTGTATGTATGTATGTATGTATGTGTGTATGTGTGTGTGTCTGTCTGTCAATAAACACGATAACTTGAGTACCGTTATTGCTAGGTTAATGAAATTTCATATATAATTATTATATCAAAATAATAGATCCGTATCAACTTTTGAGCGATTTCCGATAACCAGAAGTGGAACTCTTTCTACTTTGAATTTTTAAAAGCCTATAACTTGAGTACTATTTCAGATAGATAAATGAAATTTCACTTGTAAGTAAAAAATCTAATTCTCTGCCTTCTGACAAATTTTGAGTAATTTCCGTTGACCGGAAGTAGTAATTTTTGCTATTTCCGATTTCTCAAAAAAGGCATGTGAATTTATAAAGTACTTATAATATTCCGCACTATTATGCTCATTTTATTTAGCGTTCACTTGGTGTGCAATTCTTTTTTTTTCTACGAGATTTTATTCTATTTTTAAAAGTTTAAGTATTTAAAATGAATTAAAAATCATGTCTATGTCCCGAGTTCCCATTTCTTGTTGTTTTATATAAGAATATTCGAGAAAGTTTTGGGGAGGTCACTCCCAGTTTATTTTAAAGATATTTTTTTTATTTAGCATGATTAGACTTTTCAAGCCTATTTATATATTTTCGTAATATAAAATGCTCCTATAATTATAAATTCGATAATTTAACAATTAAAAATGGTCGTATAATAATCAAACCATATTTTACTTTTGGTTTTTATTTCTTCATTTTAAGCTGCAATGTTTTTAATTACTTATTTTATTACTACTTTGGTCGTCATGATGAAGATTAACCTTAACAACCTGTTAATTACACCTGGGCATTCACAGCCCACCACCCCCTTTCATTACCTCATCAAATCCATTACTCACAGTACATAACCCCCAGCATAATATAACCCCAGTCCAAACTACTGCAGTAGGACATTAGGTTAGGTTAGGTTAGGTTTGCCTATCGCATAGGCCGCTGACAAGAGCTTTCCATGCGTCTCTGTAATGGGCTAGTCTCTCCAACTGTCCCCATGGGGTATCCGATAAATCCCCCACCATTCATTTAGGTAAAGAGATAAGTAATAATTGGTAGAAGTAAAACAACTTGAACAGTTACAGATGTAGGTATAGGTATAATTACAGGAATTAGTAAGGAATATGAAGAGAAATAGGGAACATGAACTTTGATACGTAATAATATAAGGGAATCGATAGGGATAATGTTATAGAAAATGAAATGGGATATGGACAGATATAAGGAAACAAAACAATGCATTATAATAGAGATAGGTCAGGTATATTTTCTATAGAGTCCATATTTACACATAGGCATTTAACTGAAATATATACCAAAACCCGCGCGGCGCCTTGTATATGCTACAAGTAGTTAATAAATTAAGGAATAAGGGAATTCCCGCACCATTTTGCACTTTAAAAATTAGTGTTGAAACTGATTGCTCTAAAAATTTACCGGCACATTTTCTACACTGACAAACAACTATGAAATCTATACTGAGATATCAGGAAACAATGGGGCAAATAAGTTAAATAAGCAAACGCTGATAGATAGGCCTATAGACTATTCTTGATGTAAGTATATATATTCCACATATAAAAAAGAGAGTTAACATTACATAGATCTATTCTAGATATAGATCTACATTCAGATAGAGATCGAGATCTAGATCTAGACTATGTTGATTTTGTAATTTAAAATGTAGGTAGATTATAGATCTAAATCTTTGCTAAGTGATAAACGTTCTGTGGGGAATATTCAATATTATAGTCTTTCTCTCGTCATGGTAGTCGCACTAGGTTTAGGGAAGTGTCTTTCATGCATCTCTTCGGTTATTAATTCGGAAAAGTATAGCAGTAAAAAAATGTAAAACAATTGCGTAGTCTTTTACGCCGTTCCTGAATCCACCGGGAGTACTGTAAAACATACTTAATTAGCCGCCACCTTTATTTTTAATACAGAATGTTCAAAAATTTGGATAGATTAGTTTTTTTGCATTTTAAATACTGTTTTACCAATCATTTTGTACTGCTCATAATTATTAAGTGTTTCTGATAATTATTGTTGGTTTTAAACATTGTTTACTATCTGCGTAATCATCTTTATTAGGCCTAGATATAGATCTTATTCTAAATAGATTGTTGCAAATCACTGCAAGTTTTTGTTTCAGTGTTTGAAAAAAAAACTTGACTTTATTATTTATATTTAGTTCTAAATCGAATATTTGTACTGTTTCTTTGTGTCGATCAAAGTTGATACAGAACTACAAATTTGATATAATAATTATAGATCTATATGAAATTTCATCAACCTAAATGTAACGGTACTCAAGTTATCGTGTTCACAGACACACACATACAAGATTGCAAAACTATGTTTTTCCGACTTAGGGAGGTGTAAAACGTCGAGATTTGCAAAAATCTCGATTTTTTTTACATTACAATACTTTCTCTATACTTCATATACGAGAAAGTAACAAAAGTGTTTTAATTAAAGATGTATTAAACAAAATCTTTAATACAAAATATACACAAGCCTGTTTAGCAGTAAATGTGGATGTAACTTTAAATGTATTGTATCTCGGGTTTTACTTATTTAAACTCGTTCAACAATTTTGTAAACGTGACATGAAAGTCAATTGAGAATTTATAATATTATTGAACATTTGCAGGTCTAAAAAAGAAACGTCTTCTGCCATTTTAAAACAATGTTTCTCGGTTCGTGAGGGAAGAAAATACTTATTAAAAAGACGGCTGGTAAAGCATTAAAGGATGAACCAAGTAATCTCCTTTTCCATACTGCTGTTTTCTGTTATTAGTTTAACAGGTAGGTTTATTGATAATAATTTGTTTAAGATAGGAGTATCTCTTAAAATGTATCCAAATCTAAATCTTTATTTGTCTGGACATAAAAAGGTGCAGTAATCAACAAGCGAAAGGGATTTTCAACTGATGGTAAATTTGGCTAGGTTCAGTTTATGTGACAGTAGAAGCATTTTGTTTCATTGTGTTCCGTTTATAGATTTAAAGCGTTTATAATTCGAAAGTAATACTGTATTTGCGATTCCATGTATAGATCTTTTGTTTAAAATGAGAATAAACGCAACAGTTATGTGTAGTTAACACTGAATGTGTCACAGAACACATAGCGAAATTGTAAACACAGACGTTTTTTTTTTCAATATCTGAAAATCATTTCAATATGTTTCTGAGTCTACTGTAAGACCGTATTCAAGTTATTTGGGCTGGTATCTCTATCTGTACCTGGCCCTAATCTTAAGCCTAGTCATAACTGTAGCACAATTTTGCCCTAAGCTTGAACCTTAACACTAACCCTAACATTACACTCAACTTTTACCTCTTTCTTTAGATAACTACAAGAGAACGTAGAAATAAATTTGATCTAAGTGCAGTCATGATCTAGAGAGATACGCATTACAAATACCAAGAACAAATTGAGTTCTAACCCAGAAAATAATCTTTCCTGTAAACTTGTACTTCTAAATAGATTTTTCGAAAATGGTAAATAAATTTATTTTTCAGATGCCGTTGACGGCAAACATGTTTTCAATTTGACAATTGAAGGATATGAAAAAGATTGTGTGAACTATAGTTGCCGCTACACAGGCAAAGTGCTGGCAAGTTTTTCTTCTACACCTATAATCACAGAATTTAAATTTGAAGATTGCATGGAAGTAACGATCTATTCATGCCCTAAAGGCCAGACATGTGATGAAGACACTTGGGAGCCGGTGCGTTTGCAATATTTCTTTATTAGGCTGATTTTTTAAAAAAAGCCAACCAAATGAGGTACGGCCCACTTAGAACTATTCTGTAACATGAGGCCAATGGGGCTCAGCCAAAATTTCCTGCACTCCTCAGACATTGTTTAATTTATTGCTTAAATAACCCGGTGGTCAGACATAGTTATCCACTTGTCACCAACCGCTGACCACTTTACTTTGACCACAGAAGGGTTTTACGACAGTGATCTTGGCTATACGTTGTTTAACCAAATGTTGTTTTCATAATAACACTACCCGTTATCGGCTAGGATATGCTCCATCCATTTATAGCCAAGTCCAAATGTAAATGTCATCGCACATTTGTGTGTTTGTTTACAAAATGTTTTAAGAAAAATGAAAGAGCAGTACATAAATCATTAAACAGAAAACGGCTAGCTACTTTTTCCGCTATCACAATAAAATATCGGGAAAAAATATATAAGTAAGTGTAACAGAACATTCTACACATATGGCATGCTCTACATCTACTACAAAAATAAAAGCCATCGCGTACTATATGATGTACAGAATTGCCAATAACAGTACAGCCTTAATCAAAATAAGCATATAACTAAAATTCAACCTGAATTTTATCCGAAATGTGACATTCTTTACCTGAGTATAAGACAATAGCCACACCTGACCCATCAGTAAATTAGCCCCCAGATCAACTACCTCCCCTCAGTTATCACCCTGTGTAATTACTCGACTACTATTACACCAATACCTATCCTTTTATTTCCCCATAGCCATCTCCAAATCCCTAACCCTATTCCTAACCGAAACCATATGCATATCCTTAATCTTCACCCTAACCATATCCTTAATCTTCACCCTATCCATATTCTTTATTATATCCTATCTTTACTGTTACCGTTGTCGTTACCGTTACTTTTACTGTCACCACCACCACCGCCACCACCACCACCACCACCGCCACCACCACTACCACCGCCACCACTACCGCCACCACCACTACCACCACTACCGCCACCACCACTACCACCGCCACCACTACCACCACCACCACCACCACTACCGCCACCACCACTACCACCGCCACCACTACCGCCACCACCACCACTACCGCCACCACCACCACTACCGCCACCACCACTACCACCGCCACCGCCACCACCACGACCACCACCACTACCGCCACCACCACTACCACCGCCACCACTACCGCCACCACCACCACTACCGCCACCACCACCACCGCCACCACCACTACCACCGCCACCGCCACCACCACGACCACCACCACCACCACCGCCACCACCACCACCACCGCCACCACCACCACAACCACTACCGCCACCACCGCCACCACTACCACTACCACTACCACCGCCACCGCCACCACTACCACTACCACCACTACCGCCTTCACCACCACCACCACCACGACCGCCACCACCACCACCACCGCCACCACCACAACCACTACCGCCACCACCGCCACCGCCACCACCACCGCCACCACTACCACTACCACTACCCCTACCACCGCCACCACTACCACTACCACCACTACCGCCACCACCACCACCATCGCCACCGCCACCACCACGACCACCACCGCAACCACCACCACCACCGCCACCACCACAACCACTACCACCGCCACCGCCACCACCACCACCACCACCACCACTACCACGGCCACTGCCACCACCACCACCACCTCTACCACCGCCACCACCACCACCGCCACCACTACCATCGCCACCATCACCACCACCGCAACCACCACGATCACCACCACCACCACTACCACCGCCACCACTACCACCGCCACCGCCACCACCACCACCTCTACCACCGCCACCACCACGATCACCACCGCCACCACTACCACGGCCACCGCCACCACCACCACCTCTACCACCGCCATCACCACCACCACCACCACCACCACTACCACCACCACCACCACCGCCACCACTACCACCGCCACCACCACCACCACCGCCACTACCACCGCCATCACCACCGACGCCACCACCACCACCACCACTGCCGCCACCACCACCGCCATTACACCGCCACCACCACCGCCACCGCCACCACCACCACCACCACCACTACCACCACCACCACCACCGCCACCACTACCACCGCCACCACCACCACCACCGCCACTACCACCGCCATCACCACCGACGCCACCACCACCACCACCACTGCCGCCACCACCACCGCCATTACACCGCCACCACCACCGCCACTACCACCGCCATCACCACCGACACCACCACCGGCTCCACCACCGACACCACCACCGATACCGCTGCTGTTACGTTTGCCCTAACCGATGGGTAACTGTCAGGGGATAATGGGTCGGGATAATCTCCTGTGAGGTGGGGTAAATGACAGAAGTAATTGAACTGGAAGATAATGACGTTGGTAAAATGGCAGGGGGTAATTGGTGAATGGTGAGAAATGTCTAGATCCCTTTTTAGGCATCTCCTATCCCATTGTGTAGAATTACGTAACATCTTCTTGGGCCACTTCACCTCTACATATTTTTTGGCTTTGCACCCCCCCCCCCCCCCCACACACACACACACTCAAACCACGACCAAATTTAATACAACAAAATATGGATCTTAAAATATATAGAGGGAATCGCGTCGTTTAAAACAGTGATATTACAATTTTAAACTTATGTATTTTGCAATAAAAATATAACATGCTCAAAGCCCCACCGTGGTCAAATTATCTATGGTCAAAGCCACTATCATCAATACAACTATGGTCATAAGCTCCACATACCCCTTAACCCTATCATTGTTAAATTTAAACTTAACAATAAATCCAAATGATCACACACTCTTTTGAATCTAAATGTAATTATAACAAAACCACAGCCTAAAACTAAAAACCAACCCTAATAAAATGTAATCCAATATGCTTAAAACGAATAAACTAATACCAAATCAGACTTAACTTCACACGACACAATCTAATAGACCTTTAATTTAATTGTAATTGCGGCATGAAACCAAAAATAAGATTTTTTTTAAATGTAAGTGTAAAATTTTAACTCAATAACAACGTATGTATTACTAATTGTGCCAGTTTCCCTAACGCAAAAAATGTTTATTGCTTGTACTTTTTTCTCCAACGCTAATATTTGTTTTGCTAAATGAAACAGGCTGCAGTTTTAAAAAGTAAAAATAGTAGCCATAAACCAGATAAAACTATTGAACTCTACTCATAAAACCTACCCTAGATAATTATAAAATATGTAATGACATTAAGGGACGGAGTGGTCTAGCGGTAGAGAGCTGGACTCGTTATAGACCGTCCCTTAGTCCACCCAACTCTGATGGGTACCTAACTCACGTTAAGGAAAGTAAAGGCGGCTGGGCATATTGCTGACCACACTATCTCTTCATATGCCGAGGTCACAGAAACAAGTGAACTCTACTTCACTTTCCCCATAGACGGTCAGGTTTGAAAAGGGAACTTTACGTTACTTTAATTACATTAAAGCTTGGAGTATTTTGTTTCAATTAAAATAAGTAGCGGTGTGCACATTTGTATTAAGCTCCAAGCAAACACGGCTATTTTTTAAACTGACTTCACAATGTTTCAATTTCCTGAAATCTATTCATCATTGTAAAATGTTATTAATTTATTTTTTCAGTATTGCTTCGTTTTCGACTATCCTTGTGGAGAAAAAAAGTGCCGTAAAGTAAAGCATTCATGCTATTGTACTTATGGAAATCCTACAAAAATTAAGTTCTTTCCTGTGTATGAAAACAGATTGTATCAGATGAAGTTAAAGTATTTTTATGATGTTCCCAGGGACGTACCCATGCTGATCGCTTCAGGCAACATCTTCGATTTCTCCAAGAAGCCAGGCAAAGTTATTTCATAATATTATTATTGTTCTAAGTTATGTGGTCATCCGAGCTGTAAAACGCTCCGTTAGGCATCGTTCATTGATGGTGCCAACAAGGGGGGGGGGGGGGAGACGAATTTGGGGCCGCACGAATAATGTGCGTGTGCTGGGAAGAGGGGGGAATCGGGTCAATAGTCATATGAAATATGATAATGTTGAGGGTTTTTTTCAAACACTGCCCTATAGAGTAATATTTAAAGTTCGATATAATTGATTTATATTTATATACATATATGTATATAAATATATATATATATCATATATAAATATAATATATATATATTATATATATGCCTCTCTCTCTCTCTCTCTCTCTCTCTCTCTCTCTATATATATATATATATATATATATATATATATATATATATATATATATATATATATATATATATATATACATATATATATATATATATATATATATATATATATATATATATATATATATATATATATATATATATATATATATATATATATATATATATATATATATATATATATATATATATATATATATATATATATATATATATATATATATATATATATATATATATATATATATATATATATATATATATAAGCAACCTTTCTTTTTATTTCGATTTGTCGGTTCTAATTCTACAGAAAAATAGAAAGTGAGCCCCAAAGTCCCTTGGTTATGAAGACTGTATAACAGGGGTCTCCAAACTACGGCCCGCGAGGCACAGGCGTAGCGACCCTTCCCGGCGCCCGGGGACATACTTTCAATTTGGCGCCCCCTTGGGAGCAAATTTTCGATTTGCACCCCCCCCCCCTTCGAACTTTTTATTTGCAACCCCCCCCCCCACCCTCTCAAACTTTAGATTTGCACCCCCCCTCGAACTTTTCATTTGCACCCCCCTCAAACTTTCAATTTGGCGCCCCCCCCCCCTAAGGTCGGCGCCCGGGGACATATGTCCCCCCCCCCCGCCTCCCCACCCCCTCGCTACGCAACTGCCGCGAGGTCATTTCATCAGGCCCTCGACAATCTTTTTGTCCACTGAATAAATGTTGTTAGAGGCGACTGAGGAACTTTGCACAGAAAATTCAAAACAATTTGAAAATGTAGCCTTAGGTGCAAATACCATTGCGCGCCGTGTTGCAGACATTGGAGAAAACATCGTGACTGAAATAGCGAAAAATGCAAGCAAGCTTCGCCATTTTTCAATGGACACGAGCGAGAAAACTCTCAAAGGTATTTGAGAGGTGTATAAATTAGTTTAAAAATCATGCACAGCGTAGTTACAATTAATATGGTTATAAAATCCTGTCTATCTGGTTTTTTTCGGACTTTACTAAAGATTGGATGTATTTGATGTTTATAATATTTTCGGTAACTAAATAAAAATTAAAAAAAAAGCAAAAACAATTTGGTTTTCACGTGTAATGGCGACATAAACAATGGCATCCTGCTATTGGATAGGCCGTCATTGATTTTATTGTACACATTGTAAGCTAAAAATAGAAAACTAGGTCATGGGGTTTTTAATTTGCATTGTTATTTAAAAACTTGATCTGCAAAGTTTTGTAAACAAATAGTTATCGATCACTAAGTTACTGTACAGCCAATCAATATTTGTCTTACGAAAGTGAAACATCCGGTTTTAACTTAGGCTTGATGAAAATAAATAGAAATGTAGCCTTAAACTCAACAAATTATTTTCAAGTTCTCTGGATTTGCAACTTTTATAGCATTTATTCTAAAAATATAAAATTTCTAAATTAATTTTAGGCTTAAGTTTTTATTTTTTATTTTTTTTTACGGTCTAAATCTTAAAAAGCACGTTTTTATTCCATGTCAACAACATTGGGGACGGAATCTCGTCAACTCGCTCGCCTCCATTGCAATGGATGAGTCGCTGGACAGCTGTTCCACCTCAACTTCTTGTGTTCATTAGAGGTGTGGATGAAGACATGAACATAACACAAGAGCTGGCTTCCCTACATAGAATATATGACACTGTTACCGAAAAGGATATCTAACCATAAATAGAACAGAGACAAACACAAAATCGCAACATTTATCATATTTCACATAAGTAAGATGGCTAATTTTGCCAGAAAGTTCTGAGCAGAGTATTTAAGATAAGAAAGGAAATAGGTGACTTCCTTAAAAGTAAAGGCAAGCCACAGCCATTATTGTCTGATGAAGAGTGATTATAGAAATTGGCCTCTGCTGCAGACATAACTATTCATTTACATTTTCTGAACCTAAAACGGCAAGAGAGGGAAAACTAGTTTCTTATCTATACACCCTTCAGATCCAAACTAGTCATGTATTTGGAACAAGTACAGGCCAACAACTTGACACACTTTTGCAGTGCAAGATCTTTACGGCTTAAGCAACCAATGAATGTGGCCAGTTGCAAGGATGAACTGCAGCTGGAGGTCAGTGAATTGCATGAAAATGACTTCCTTAGAGACACATTCAAAGAAGGGCGGACAGAGGCGTAGAGATGGGGGGGGGCAGGGGGGACATATGTCCCCGGGCGCCGACCTTAGGGGGCGCCAAAATGGTTGCAGTTTGAGGAGGGGGTGCAAATCGAAAGTTTGATGGGGGGTTGCAAATCGAAAGTTTGAGGGGGGTGGGTGCAAATTGAAAATTTGCTCCCGATGGGGGCGCCAAATTGAAAGTGTGTCCCCGGGCGCCGGGAAGGGTCGCTACGTCTCTGAGGGCGGATTGGGTTTTCATAAGTTTTTGCACAAGGATGACTTTCTTAATATTAAAGCTTTTGCATCAAAGTACCTTTCAAATTTTGAAACAACATACCTGTGTGAACAAACATTTTCAAGAATGAAATACATGAGGAACAATTTGAGAGCAAACTTGGACCTTGAGTATGTTGTCGACCCCCGAAAGTGTTTCTTGCAGACTTTTTTCTCCGGGGGGTGGGGGGTGGACACTTGAAATTTGTAAATATTTCTATATAAGTTAGATTTCGTTGGGGGGGAGGTTGGAAGACTTTCTTCGGGGACGGGGGGGGGGGCACCCCCTCCTCAAAGAGATGCCTTAAAGAAACTCTGGCCCCCGAACTGATATTTTATAGTAAATGCGGCCCTCGGGCTGAAAAGTTTGGAGACCCCTGCTGTATAACAATGACTGTATAAAGAAATAACACAAACCAAGAAAAAATGTTTAAATTTTTTATGCAAGTCCTCTATATTCCACCAATAGATAATTGGGACCCAATTGAAAAGTATCCAGATAAGCCATTTTATTACTATTCGAACAATGGAAAACATCAGCTCAAAGCAGGTATGAACAACTTTATTGTTGCTGATGTCTAATATTAAAACTGTTTTCAGTAAAGTAAATCAAGACTAGCATGCATTTTCGTTTTAAGACAACAGCCAGATAAGAAACAAATATGTAATAATTATCATTAAAAAAGTTTTTAAAAACCCACGTTTTCTGATTGAACTAAAAAATAGAAAATAAATTCTACACATCACAATAATGCAAGCGATCACTCTACTATAAGCGATGAAAAACGTGGGGCGCCGAAGTAAAAGTTATATTACTATTGATTAGATAAATACTATTGACTTTTATTAGGGAGCTTGTAGAGAGTCAACAGTATTAGAAACTGTAAGAAAATCACGGCGCCCCACGTTTTTCATCGCTTATAGTAGAGTGATCGCTTGCATTATTGTGATGTATAGAATTTATTTTCTATTTTTTAGTTCAATCAGAAAACGTGGGTTTTTTTAAACTTTTTTAATGATAATTATTTTCTACTTTTTAGTCTTTGTCTGTTTGTTTGCATTAAAATCTTGCTATCGATTTTATCTTTTCGCATTCACTTTTTTTTGGGTAAACGAAGACAACTCGTAAAAAACACGTGCCTTGAACCCGTGTCGAGTGGGTTAGCAATCGTGTGCCCAACCACTCGACCATATCGCCTCCCCCATACTGGCCACCAGTTGTTCCGGTTGTTTGTACACAAACACCACGTGAACACTACTCAGTAAGCCAAAAGAGGGAGAGTACCGAACCTTGTTTTCATCCAATTACAATTACTGGGTTATGTCCCCTTTTCCCCACGTTTTTTTTTAGAAATATATAGCGGTCTAAAATGATCAATAAAATGTTTCCATGGATGAATTTAGTAATAATAACAATTGAATATTCTATTGTCATCGGAAACAAAGCTTCCCTGAAAATTTCAGCGCGCTAGCTAACTGGGAAGTGCCCGAAATTTTGATCGCAAGATTTGATTGGAAAGACGCGAAAGCAAGTTAAAGAAAACGTGGTAAAATACTTTGACCTGACCTTGAACCCCTTAGGCCTATCATTCCTATCACATATTAGTTCGTGTAGGAAAAAGAAAGAAAACGTAACCGGAGAATGTTTTCGGCTTCGTGTTTGATTTCGCATTGTTGATTGTAGGTTACAATATTAAATGTATAAACGACCGAACGAATTAGTTGCTTCGCTTATGGGGGCAGTATCACATTTGAAAATTGACGAAAAAATGTGCCAAAAAAAAACTATTATACATACACACATGAAATTTTTTTACCATAATAGTAAATTTCAAGGAGCTATAAAACAGCTCATAAAAGAAAGTTAACGTATGATGCAAACATTTTTTAAAAAATATTTTACCAAAACTTTTTACTAAGTAATTTTTGGCTGCAGTTTTCGAACATTTAGGCCCTTCCTTCTGAAAATACTCTAGGAGATGCATAACAGGGTAGCCTATGTCCGGTACTAGGAGATATCCATTGTGACAAATCTTGAAAATTTCAGAATTTTTCAAAGTCAGACCAAAAATATTGAACTTGACATTTTCTAAAAATTTTATCTCGCATTAGAATTCTATTATTCTAGTTCCGTACGTAGCCAAGGAAGGTTTATACCAAATTTTAAATACTTTACTTATTGTTTTGAAAAATTGTTTACAAAAAAAAATTTAAAATGTAATAAAATATTAACAAAATAAATTTTTGACAATTTGTTGCTATATATATACCCTACAATTTATATACTGTACTATAGCAAAAGAAACTTTACTACTACTGTAAAATTGTGACATGTGTAGGTTGAATAGTTTTTTTTTTGTGATAATTTTTGGGTAAAATCTTAGTTTAGCGTCGTAAATTCGGCCAAAACTAGTAATGTGGGAGAGAGTGAATTAATGAATATGTCATTAAATATGAGTATATTTTCGTATATTTTGATAAAATATTATAGATAATTGAATAATAGATCACCATTTATGATTAAATCAATTTAAATATCCTGAAATTAATTTTTATCAACCCTGTTCGAGATAGTAAATTTGCTATTAAAAACAGCAGCCATCTTAAGAAATTGTTATTGAGAGTAGCTTCCCTTTCATTTCTATTCGTATGAAAATGTATTTAAATATGATCGTCTTGTTGTATAGTCCGTATTACAAAGCATTTTTTTTTTTTAAATGTGAATTTCCTAACAAACAACTTTATTAATTCTAGAAGCATTGTGAGATGCTACTTGTATCCATGTATTAAATAACGTTTTTTTTTTACTAATGTTTATTTGATCTTACTATTACTATATAGTTTGAGTTTTTTTCTTATTGTTTGAATGTTCACTATTTTCATTTCAGGTTTTTCTTTTCATCAATTAGTAATTCTATCATAACTTATGACATTTTTTTTACTTCTCTTTACCTTAATTAAACCCCAACCTCCGTCATATTTTGTTGTCAATGTCACAACAAGTCATAATGTAAAAATTACGCTTCACTCTGCCTTATCTAAGTCTAAGATCTCTAACCATAATTTTGACAGCATTAAATGTTTGTCATCATTTATATATACAGAGAGACAAAATGTATTATCCACCAGCTTCCCTCGTAAAACATCATCTAAAACAATGAGCCGCTCCACCCCTTAAGTGCGTGTTGTCATTATGGTCGATCGCAAGTCTCCACCTGCCAGACACATTTTGGTTATCCTTTGTTGTCAATATCAAGTACCCAAGTGAGTGATATGGGGTTGTCCATAAATGATGTCACATATGATTTGCTACGGGAGTGAGTGAAGATTTGTGACGTCAACTCAGGCGGCTTTGCAATTTATGACGTGTCGGTCTCATGAAAGAAGGTGAACGGGGAAAAATACCTAGGTGGTTGATGGAGAACCTCTATAATGCTTTGTTCAATCAAAATAACGATAAATAAGCATTAGTATACGTATAACTTGCTTAAAACGAATCATTAAAAATGTTGCAAGCCTGCTAGTTTAAGACATATGGCAAAACGGCCGCAACACATTATCCCCGTCAAAAAGGCTTGCCGCCAAATGCCTGCCGACGAATAAGCCGCATCTAATGCGGGGCGTTAGGAATACGGCCATTAGCTGCGTTAGAGCACCAGTAGGCTATCGCGCTTTGTAAAATAGTAGCGTAGCGAGGGGGGGGGGGGGGGGCGGGGGGGGGGACATATGTCCCCGGGCGCCGAGCTTAGGGGGCGCCTAAATGGGTTGGAAAAATAAATTGAAAGGTTGAGGGGGGTGCAAATCGAAAGTTTGAGGGGGGGGTGCAAATCGAAATCTCGAGGGGGGTGCAAATCGAAAAGTTTGTCCCCGGGCGCCGGGAAGGGTCGCTACGCCTCTGTTGTAAGATGACGTAAATACTTAAATTCAATTTCGCTAAACTGCGCGAAAATTTAGTAATGTTCCATCGTTTGAGGAAATTTATTTTCTTGGACTTAAATTGAAATATCATGTTGACTGTCTGGCTCTTAATTTCCGAATATCACGTTTAATGTATCAAGATTCAGAACTATAATTTACTTTAATGTAAGTGTCATCTGATCATTTATTGTGCTTTTTAAAAAGCGCAGAGCAGCTTCAAAATCGGACCGCCATCCTGTTTTCACCAAGCTTCTTTTGGAGCTTAATATGGGTAGTCTAGTTCTATACGGTGAGAGCTTAATACATTTTTAAAGGGCCGAAAGTCTCAAGACAGCAAGCTTGCAGAAATAACCACGTATGTTTAAATGGACGAGTGATAGATGTGTTAGGGGCTGTTAAATTGAACACCAATATATGTAATCAAATTAAACGTCGCCTAAGTGTCAAAGCGGCAGTGCTTGTTTATTTTTTCTATAAAATAAACCTAACGGTCGGCGGTACCGGTACATGACGTCACGCGCGAGCGTTAACTCGATGACGATGTGCTATTATTATATTAAAGTGAGGGAATGAAAAGGTGGGGTTCAAGAAATGCGACTCAGCATGCTTTTTACATTTCTTGACCCTTCTTAATAGTTCTATCGTCCCCACTGAGAAAATGGATCACCAATGAATGACGCGTCATACTTCTACAGCTGGTCTTTCTCCCACAACCATCCCCGTTTTTCACGAAAAAAAACCCTGACCCGTCTCCAAAATCACATCGCTGAGTTGTACTCAACCTCTCCCCACCACAAATCACAATTTCTATCTGAAACAATATGTTCATATGTTTGTTCTGTAATAATGCACGCTGTCATTACTATCTTAAGAGCGACGTCATTTATAAGCGATCTAATATTGATTTGCTTACTGCAAATAAAGTGTTCAAAAGTTCGACCTCCCAACAATTGTTATGGTCTTTGATGCACCCAAAAAGCCAGACCCCCTAAAATGACGTCACACCTCAGCCTACAACCCCCCCCCCCCTCAAAATTGCAGTTGAATTGTTTTTAAACAGCTGTATTTTTCCAAAATCTTGTCTGAACTCGGTCAAAATAGAGTATTTTAATCAATTGTTATTACAATGTATTAAAACAGTTTTCTAAAACGCAAAATAACGTCTAAAATTCGTTTTCTAACATTGCTTTTTTAAAATGCAAAAGTGTGACGTCGCACCATCTGAACTCCCCCTCATCACACAACGTCACAAAATTACGGGCCCCCCCCCCCCCCCGTCTCCCCTACGAGTGTGACGTCATTTATGGACGACCCCCAGGCATATATTAAAACAATACAAAACAATCATATTAAACCACAAAATCAACACAAAAGACATGCGAATGGACAATTTATTGTTTTTGAAACATGGCTGCTGCTTGTATTTACTCATTGTTGTCTCGAACGGGGTAGTTTAAAGTTAATTCCAGGATATTTATGACTGGTTTGGTCTTGGATTGTGATTTGTTATTCAATTATCTGTTATATTATGTAAAATATGACATAAATATAGCCAAATGAAAGAAATATTCATAAGTTACCTTCATCGCACATTACTAGCTACGTTGGAATTTACGACGCTAAACTAAGATTTTACCAATTTTTGTTTCCCTCTCTTAGTCTGGGTGATACTGCCCCCTTAAGCCGGCATATAAAGAAGTTAAAATAAATGTAAGGAATTGGTAATGCACAAACTTGTATCCCATCCATTAAGCATTAATTGAGCAAATACAATTGTTCAATATTTGTACCTTACAAGTAAACAAAATTTTAACAGAGTTCGCGTGCTTAAATATGTTTAGTAGAGTAAAGAATGAGGAAGTTTAAAACAATGTGTCGAAGAGACCTGGAAATTTTAAAACGAGTCCCCAACGCTAGAATATTTCAACTTGGTATTAAGGAATGGGAATGTGGAGAAATATTAGCAAATTCAAAAATAATCAAAACACTAATAGGACTTTTAAAGAAATGTTATTGTTCATGTGGATCCCCTTAGAACATTTCCTGGGGCCCGCCGGAATGTTTCCCAGTAGACCGGCACTTCTACCTCTGACCGTACTCTATTAAGCAAATGATTTATACTGCACTTGGAAAACTGAAAATCAAAACGCAACATGCTGAGAGAAAGAAGTATTTTAACCTGTGGCTAGCATTAGTTATTTAAATATTCATTTTTATTATTGACGTTTCTTTAAATGTATTTTACAGAGTTAATCGTCATTGGCATCGGAGCTCTGTCTGCCTTCTACCTGGCCAAGTAGTTTGATAAATAAGATGGAATTTGATATGCAAGTCCTAATAATCTAAGATTGTAGAAAACAGTGGATTTTAGCTCCGTTTTAAATATGTTTAGAATGTAGGCCTACTTAAAAAAAAAAACATCTAAATGTTAAAAGTTTAAAAACTGGTAGATAGTATGGGGGAAAATTATCAAAGAATCATAACCGTATACATTGAAACGGTAACATAAACTTTACTTTTTAATTTTGAACTAAACTGTATATCATTTTATGTAGTATAAACAAATTAATTGTATACAAAACTGTAAGGAAACCTTTCAAAACTTAGAATAAACTGTTTCAAATAAAAGAACAATTTCTTATTTTTCGGGTGTTCTTTAGTATTGCAAAAAGCATCAGTTTCATTACATATTATTCTTTTTCTTGAATGAACTGAATCTGTGCATTTTAAGGGTTGGGTTAAAAATTACTCGTTAGTTAGTGCGGCATTACAATGTTGGATGTGTGGCTGCTGAACGTACACTCTAGTAAATAAAAAATATGACACTGACAAAGTTTGCAATTGTAGCCAACACAAGTATCGGAGCTTAAAAATATTAGAATGATTTTAAACAACATAAAAGTTTGCTTATTTAAACAGCTTACTTGTCAGAACTGGTTCCCATGATGATCTTATCAATGACAATATAAACAAAACATAAATACAGGCCAACATATTGAGCTTCAGATATATTTGCTTAGCTCAACACCATTTACTGAATTTATATTAACTTGAACGAAAATATTTCAGGTTCATGTTACTAAATTGACATGAGATTTTTAAGACCAGGTTTTAACGAAATTCTGCTTTAGATATATATATATATATATATATATATATATATATATATATATATATATATATATATATATATATATATATATAATATATATATATAAAAAATTTAAAAAAATAAATATATATATATATATATATATATAATGAGCAACGATAATTGTGTACATATATATATATATATATATATATATATATATATATATATATATATATATATATATATATATATATATATATATATATATATATATATATATATATATATATATATATATATAATGAACAACGATAATTGTATACATATACATAAAGTCAGAATATAGAAAAAAACACTAATATTGTATGATAAAACAAATACATACTGAAAGTGATTGTCAGTTTGACAGATCTCGTAGTGTCGTCTGGATCAAACACGACGATGCAGTTTCCGCATTTGTGAACCCCCATATACTTCTGTGTGCTTAAAGAGATGTAGTGAGGTTTATGTGTGATGGAAACCTTTACCCTGTACAGTTTTTCAGGAAAAAATGGAGGCACATTCTGACGGTCCAAGTCCGAAGTTTGATCCAATGTTTGATTATTTTTATTTGAAGCCTGAGGTAAACATACAGTATAAATAGGAAATTTGAAGAAACACAAACTATTAATTGTGTTTAAGATATGAAACTGTTCTAACTAATTACAAATATGAGTCAACCCATCTCTAATGGGTACCTGACTCGCGATGGGGAGAGTAAAGGCGGATGAGCATAATGCTGACCACAATATCCTTTCGTATGCTTTGGTCAAGAAAGTGGTGGACTCTGCTTTATATTTTGCCATATTAAAAAAAAACAATTTGATATAAAAAAAAACCTCTGCAATTTTTACTTTGTATATGATGTCACACACCCAAATTGTTACTGTCCATGTTCTATCAGTAGGAGGGGGGGTTAGTGGGCTTTCACAATTGATTTCAATTTCCACAAGGAGTGAGTGATTTTGGAACAATGTACTACATAAGTAGATAGGGGGGGACTCTTTAAACAGGTTTATTTGTACAATTATAAGCGATCTTATCTTGACGCACAGTTTCTAAATTCTCTATATTAAAAATGCTCAAGATTAAACATGCTAGAAAAAAAGTTAATACTAATTAGTGGCTTTATTAATAATATAGCCACTAATTAGTATTAGTTTTTTGTAAAAAAAAATAAGGAATAATATTATTATTCCTTATTTTTTCTTACAAAATTAAACATCTTGATAACTATTTTGAAAAAAAATTCAATTTAATAAGGGAGCGCCGTGATTAATGTATGACGTCATTTTAGCAGAGATTTGACTTGTGACAATGGGATGAGAAAGGGAGAGATCAGTACACAAAACGCAATTGATCTACGCCATTTTAAACTTCGTTATGCTGAGTTAAGATTAACATTCTGAGAATTTCACATTTTAAGAGCGAAAGATTATCACTATTTTTTCGTGTATTTCTAAGGACTATTCAGTTTTTAAACACGATCATAAAAAAAACATGGCAGAATTTAGAGTATTAGACAAAACTGTGAAAATATTTAAATAAAGCAATAAATAATTTTAAATGTTAACTCACGTCCGGCGGCCTCGTAGTTTTGTCCCCTGGTAAAAAAAAAAAAGACAAGCTGTTTGAAACTGTTCTCGGGAAATTCAGGTAATTAATTAATTAACACTCAAACAAACATTTTGCTTTCTTACGTCTTGACCACATAGCCATGTAATTTACAAAAAAACATAATTGTGAAATATCTGGTGAGATTTACTTACCGGAGCCTGACTCCACAATCTCTGTAATACACATCAACAACATGGTTCCAAGCATCATCTTTTTTAAAGACTCCATGACGCTCATCTGTCTATAAATCTTAACCAGTCCTAGTGCATTCCGCTTAAAGAAATTATAAAAGCAACATACGGAGATGAAAAATGTATAAATCAAAACAAAATTGTAAGTGGCGCCGCCCTTGTTAAGTAATATACCATTATAGTCTTTACTGTATTTTAGCATAATCAAAACAAATTTATAATAATCTAAATATGTTTTACATTAGTTAGAATAAATCTCAGGGTGTCATTATTTCTTTATAATTAAAATAAATACAAAAGAATATTTTTCATGGGAACCTTTAATAAATGACCACATGCATAGACGACAGATGATAGTGAAGTTGTAAAGTTTATTGTAAAGAAAGACAATCGTGTAAATATTGGGTTTATTTCAAGAAATATTTTGATCATGTCCCTTGGCTTTAATAACGAGCTACAATGTCAGAAATGTTGAGTTCACCTTTGGACTTGAATATATAGGCCGATCTAATACCGTTCTGCCCAGATCTAAAACTTGGAGTAAAATTTACTGACCACAGGGTACATTAACTAATTAGATCTAGATGTAACTACTAGTTTCACAATTTATTACTTCGAGAAAGGTTTACAACATTTTTATTGTACACTTTGCTAGTTGTTAACAAATAACTTTGGAAAGTGGGTATGCGTGCGTGTGTTTGTTTTTGAATGCTTCTTTGTGTTTAATCGCTAAGCAGCTAGACGCATTGACCATATTCCAGTCAATATTTTACCCAACGTAATAAATTTTGTTCTACTCCACTCAATATTTTACCCAACATAATACAACTTGCTCTACTCCACTCGATATTAAACCTAACATACCCCAACAGCCACAGACAACTCACCAGAACACGCTAAACATAATCTAAATTTTCCTTAACAAAAACTTGACATTAAATCTTTACTTTCTCACGCTAGCTCTAACCACACCATCCTTACACTAACTAATGGTAACATCATACAGGTTCATTTAAGAGAACGTCCACCCATCTACTGTTTTATGGGGAGTTTAATCCATTGACCGTCTTTTTAGTTATGCCTCTGGCCCACCTAAACTGACAACGATAAATTGTCAAGCACCAAGTCTGAAATAGAAGGCTGTCAGTCTAAGTTTATAACAAGACAAAAACGTAACTACCTTTTCTCAACTATGACGTAAACTGTGCAGTCGTTTCATGATCCTCTTTTCTAATTTGTAGATTTGACATTTGCCATACTGTATGTTCACAAAATGTTTCATCACCTTGTGTTGGCTTTGTCTATTAAAAGTCTGATCTTCAACACATTAAAGTGTTGTGTGCAAATGTTTTTTGAAGTTGCTGGTAATCCAGGGAATATGGGAAGAGTGAGTTTGACGAACTGTCGAGATCATTGGACGTCTTAATTGGATGCAGTGGTTGAGGCCATGTAGAGTTTTGCAATCTGTACAGATCGTTGGACGTCTTAATAGGGTGCAGTGGTTGCAGTTTGGCAATCTGTACAGATCGTTGGACGTCTTAATAGGGTGCAGTGGTTGCAGTTTGGCAATCTGTACAGATCGTTGGACGTCTTAATAGGGTGCAGTGGTTGCAGTTTGGCAATCTGTCGGGAACAGAAACGGTGGAACTGACGTGCACAGGTGGAAGTAAGAAATATCTTTGTCAACAGTGTGACAACAAGTGGTGATAGCGTGGTGATATTTTTACAAGTTCAATGGGCAGATCATATCTTGTTGTCTCTATAGTCTGGTCATATCACATTATCTGCTCACATGTTCAATGGGCAGATCATATCTTGTTGTCTCTATAGTCTGGTCATATCACATTATCTGCTCACATGTTCAATGGGCAGATCATATCTTGTTGTCTCTATAGTCTGGTCATATCACATTATCTGCTCACATGTTCAATGGGCAGATCATATCTTGTTGTCTCTATAGTCTGGTCATATCACATTATCTGCTCACATGTTCAATGGGCAGATCATATCTTGTTGTCTCTATAGTCTGGTCATATCACATTATCTGCTCACATGTTCAATGGGCAGATCATATCTTGTTGTCTCTATAGTCTGGTCATATCACATTATCTGCTCACATGTTCAATGGGCAGATCATATCTTGTTGTCTCTATAGTCTGGTCATATCACATTATCTGCTCACATGTTCAATGGGCAGATCATATCTTGTTGTCTCTATAGTCTGGTCATATCACATTATCTGCTCACATGTTCAATGGGCAGATCATATCTTGTTGTCTCTATAGTCTGGTCATATCACATTATCTGCTCACATGTTCAATGGGCAGATCATATCTTGTTGTCTCTATAGTCTGGTCATATCACATTATCTGCTCACATGTTCAATGGGCAGATCATATCTTGTTGTCTCTATAGTCTGGTCATATCACATTATCTGCTCACATGTTCAATGGGCAGATCATATCTTGTTGTCTCTATAGTCTGGTCATATCACATTATCTGCTCACATGTTCAATGGGCAGATCATATCTTGTTGTCTCTATAGTCTGGTCATATCACATTATCTGCTCACATGTTCAATAGACAGATCATATCTTGTTGTCTCTATAGTCTGGTCATATCACATTATCTGCTCACATGTTCAATGGGCAGATCATATCTTGTTGTCTCTATAG